AGCGGTAATTAGGTCAGCCCTGAATGCTCAACTGGTAAAAAAACTGAAAGACTGCAACCAAACAGAGAAGAAAAAGAGTCCATTAAGTTTCAAACTTTGAACTCGGTGCAAAATTCCATGAAAACGATTGATATTTTTTTGCTGGTGCTTCATAATCGCGCATTGAAGAGTGTTGCCACATCCTCAAATTTCAATTGTACCGCCAATAATGTTTGGTAAAGATTGTCATTTTTGCGTGATCGTTTCTACCACAAGTTATCAGCTATCTGATAATAAAAGACAGAAATGAGGCTTTTTACTGTCCGCTGGGAGCGAGGGATTCAGCTATATCTTTTTGTTCCTGGATAACGCAATTATCGAACAAGCTAGACAGAAAACGATAAGAAACAAACGAAAAATCGCAAGATTCAGCAAAAAACGTGTAAAATTCAAAGCTGGAACAGTGAAAATTTTCGAAAAATTTACTTGCAAGGAGACACAGGAAGAAAAGCAAAGCGCCAGCACCGTTACGAGCTGATGAAGGGAGCAAAAGTAAGACACGAAAATGCAAAAGTTATTGCTAAAACATCAAGTTTTGTCTGAAAACGCTAAATTTTGATCACAAACGGCATTAGATTCCTTTCACTGCTGGAAACTAGGAAGCCCGGGATTAGGCAGTGGAATGAAACGTTGAGTCCGGGATGAAGAATCGAAAACCGATTGTCATTAGCGACGAAGTCAGTTAGCTTGAGAGAGATGGGTGGGACAGCTGGGGACGATGAAGCTAGAGAAGCCCGGATTATTTGGATGAGGGAGAAGGGTACACACACAGGAAAGGAAATGCCCATTGCCATTGGAATCTATATCCGGGTGCAGCTGCGTACTGCTCATTTGTCCATTGCTTGTGAAATTCCTAGCAGCCACCCTTAAAAATCCTCAACTTTTTCAGCCGTCCATGGCGTATCCAGAAGGCTTTTCCGTGTTGTTTCGGGTGAGTTTTGGTGCGAGAATCCAGAAAGTCCCTCCGGTCCAAAACGTATTCGGAATTACTTGCCATCACACTAAATAAGCAGTTCTTGGATTGTACTTTTTACGATCCTGGTTTAGCCACCATTCTTTGAATTTTCACGAACCATCTTTTTTTTGCCGTACAAAATAGGGTATACATCTGAGGGAAAATGATTTGGCATTATTCAGAATCGAAGAGATCGTGGTACCACAAACTGATCGGTTTTCACCAAGACTTTCAAAGCCGAAGGAATTTTACAGACGGTATCGTGAACACCCTCCTCAGTCCAGTCCACAGCACACTGATGATGTTTTCACTCAGCTTTCAGTTCATCCACATACGCCTAGGTCCTACGTATGGAGGCCTTAAAAAAAAATGCACATTTCTTGGCGGGGAAGTGATCTCAGCGACCAGACAAAACAAAAAGCTGAAATTTCAAGGGGATATTGCTTGTCCATGTACAATTCAATGATTTCAAATTTAGCTCCCACGCCTCCGTGATTCCTACGCACGAGCACGTGTAAACTTCGGTGGGAAAACTGCTAACTCGGGAGCCAGAAAAGCTGGAAGGCTGAAATTTTTGAGATGTTTCTCGTATGCGTACAATTTAAAAACTTCAAATTCAGTTCCCACGCGTGCACGGAACCTACGTGCTGGGACGTGAAGATTTTGACGGAAAAGTGCTAACTCAAGAGCCAGAAAAGCTGGAAGGCCGGAATTTTAGTTAAAAGCGCCTGCAAACCGGCACCGTTTATCTGCAGCTCTACCGCTGCTTCGCCAACTTTTTGCACCATCTTCGCCTTCGATGCCTTTATTTTCAAGCTCATTCCATTCCACCACTGTTTTGAGTACCAGAACCTCATTCACTTCGTACGTGCTGCTTTCAACCGGAAACAAACCACGCGTGAAGTTCAAATTGTTCAGCTGCCCATTTAAATGGTTCAGCTACTAATATTCAGATTATTCCCTTAATTATCGAAGTACCAATTCGAAATAGGTCAGAATGTTAAGGAGCAGTGTTTCGTATTTCGTTTTTACAGCTACTGCAACACTGTTACTGGGCGCCATTATAGCTGTGTATGATGGAAAATTGTACAAATTCTTATGTGGTAGCACACATCGTTTTTCGACAGATTTTATTACGTTATAGAAAAAATAAAAACAGAGGGCAAAAAAAGATGATAACTAACCAAAACAATCGATGCTGGAGAAAAGCGCAAAAAAAAAACAATCCAAGTAATTTCATGGAAAATTTAAAAAAAAAAACATCATTGATGGATATTTTCAACCAAGCAATACAAATAAGCGTAAGAAATACGGAGAAGAGCTTTGATAAATAATGCCAAAATAATATATGGTGAGTAGTACAAAACCTCTCTGTTATGAATAATAATTACGCATGAAATTTTCGCGAAAAAACAGAACACAGCGCCTAAAAAATAGGGGGATGCAACGTTCGAAATAA